TCGCGTTTGTTGCGGTTAGTAGCATCTAACCCACTTACAAACATCGAATCATAGCATTGATTCTTCATTGGACTGGCTCTGAACGAGCTGTCTATCCAATGGTTACCCGGTGTTGCAAACAGGGTTATTGTGACGAAAATACACTTCCTGGGTACAAGTATGTAAATGAACTGACAGAAGGTTACCGGATACGCATGCCTGACGAGCGGCAAGAACCGCGAAACCAGTCGTGTGCTTCCGGGGAAATTTCGTCCAGTCATTCACATACCAATTATTATCAAATATATATCTATATATATAACGTCGGCTTGTGGCCAAGCATGGTGCCATGGATTTTTGTTAGTTCGTAATGAATACTTTTTGTGACATTTCATAAGTGTATGAAATATATACTTTGTGGATATGATTTCAGCTATTCATTTTATCCCATTATGGCTAATTTTGCCTGTCAAGCAGTGAAAACCTTCTGTGTTGATCTTTATGGAAAGGTTTTGGAGTCCCAGAGAGGTTTGTTTAATTTCTATCACTCGGTTACTCACATGCTCCATTAAGAACACTACCAGAATGTTTTTATCTCTCCGGTGAGCATTTATGCTGCGATGGCCATGGTTCTCGCCGGAAGTGAAGGCGAAACAAAGCGAGAAATTCTCTCAGCATTACGACTACCCACGGACATTGGGGATGAAGAAATCCACAACGCAATCGGAAGTTTTATTTCCAGTTGTTTTCAGTCCACACCCGGTGTGACGGTATCTGTTGGAAACCGAGGTTTTGCAGAAAGAGAAGTAACGCTCGCCTCACAGTACCAGGAGATTTTGAACAAGAATTATGGAGCGCGCTTTGAGAATGTAAGCCATTCCAGTTGTCTGAATGGTATACTTCTTTAATGTTAGGTTGACTTCCGTGGTGCTATTGAGGCTGTACGGAAGCACATCAATGATTGGGTTAGCAGTGAAACCAAGGGAAAGATTCAGAATTTATTTGCCCCAGATAGTTTGGATTCGAAAACTTGTGTGATACTTATCAATACTCTATACTTTAAGGGTAAGTTGTCGTTTCGATAACTATTTATCGTAACGATAGGTGCTTGGGAGAAGGAATTTGATAAGGAATTAACGACACAGATGGAATTTCATCTCCTGAATGGACAGAAGAAAAACATACAAATGATGTATAAAAAGAAGCAGCTAAAGTTTGCATCCTTTCCTGATTTGGATGCAGCGGCCATTAAGATGCCGTTCCGACAGTCGAAGTAAGTAATGCATCATGTGTAGATACAGTCTGCTCATCAAGACTAAAGTTATGTCCTCGATTCCAGTGGTCGAAATATCAAGCTCGGTCAATTTAGTTCATACTTAATGATTCCATTGCTTGGGTTTACACACTGTCTCATGGTCTCCATTATCCGTTTCATCCATCCCGGAAATTGTTTGCGCCAATACGTGGACATATATTCAATAAAAAGAAGTGAAAAGAGAGAGCAGATCAGTTTGAAAGTCAACAGAAATCAATATCGGCTATATGCAAACTAAACGTTCTAATTTAGCAGACATCTCTTTAGTTCAAGACTAACGACGGCCTTCATGGAAACAGTAAATAATAGTGCAAACTAAAAGCTTGTTCTGTTTTTCTTATTAATTTTTCTAATTTTCTTGAGCTTTTCTGGTGATATGTTTTTTACTTGTTTTCTCCGATTTCACCAAACTAAATTGTGTTCTGTACATTCTATAAATTCCGAGTTTTGTCTGGGACAAAGCAAAGAGGTGTCCTTAGAAAACTGAAGCAAGCCTTTCCCGAGATTAATTTCAAAAGAAGAAACCAAATTGCAATACTGCACGATTTATGTCCAGGACGATTTCGCTGCATCTCAACATGGTGCATACTGCAGAGAACACAATATTTATATGGGGATTTAGCATGGCAACAAAGTAGAGCGGAATGCAATCAAACAGATGAACATAAAAGGGGGAGAGGTAAAAGGACTATGTCACCAGAGGATAAACTAATATAAAGTTCTTTTTGTTGACACAAGGGGGCTTCCATCGACTGATAGCAATCGCTTCTGCAAACCGTTGGGCATTGGAGAGCGTAACACGGGAGTAGATGTGAACTTCGTTAGCGGCTCTTCTTTGCGGTGTTCCATATCTCACTTCTGACACCAAATGGTACGTCGGTACAGAATTCAGGTGGCATGTATGTCAGTCCGCGATAGCTCACTCTGAATGGACAGTCGTTTACTACGAACACTAGACTGTACCCCATCCCTGCTTCATCAATCATGCACACGAAGCCAGAACGCGGTCAACACACACAAGCGTTTATTATAGAAACCAACAGGTACGGTGATATCATGGTAAAAAGCATATGTTAAGGGAGAGGGGACTCAAGGCTCGTATTGGTCATGGACTCTATTTTATCTCTTGCGACTCTCTTCCTTGCTCCTCTTCCGTATTTACAGTGTACACCCATTTTATACTTAGTAATATTGCCAACATCCCCAGCCCGTTAAAGTTCAATGTTGTTACAAATCTTTCACTTGAATTCGACAAAAGATCAACGAATTTTTCATCTTCCATTTGATAGCTAAGTTCACGGTGGTTGGTTATGCGAAAAACGCAGTTGAAAATAGCATCGATTGAATTTAATCGACAGCTCTGACAATTGGAGTGGTGAACCGCATCGTGTCCTATGTTTAGTTATACCGGTACGTTGTGCAAAAATAGAACCTCACCGGGCGAATCATTTATATTCATAATGTTGAACATGTAGTTGTGCAGTCAGTTTTTAGGACGGGGACTGCGACCAATCAAAGATGGCTTGGGGTTAAATACAGGAATAGGAAAGATGAACGACTGTGGTGGAATTCAAACTCACTACCTCCGGATCGTCGTAATGGTGACCTTAACCGCTCTAATCGTGAAGGTCATTGCCCCATTGAATGTAATAAACGTGTTAATTCGGTGTTGTTCTTATGGCAATGCTCTAGGTGATTTGGTTACGGGTTCATGTTTTGACGATGTCCGGAATAAATATGGACGTGCTGTGTTCTCTACCGACCTGTAATCGCAAGATAACGGAATACTTCCACCAATTCCTTTTTCGCGGCCGTTGATTTTCAAGTGGCTACAGTGTTCTGTCAATGGGGGTTATTCAAAGTTCAGTCAAAAGCGACGTTCATTCGCCTCAGGGTTGTTGAATTTGATTCAGTAGTAATTTCTTCGTTTTCCCGTAGAGGTTTGTGGAAAATTCGGAATCTTGGTTATTAAATAGTTGGATTTCCTTGAAACATCAAAATAGGCACTCTTTTACTCTTCTGTCTTGGTAACTCATGCAGAAAACCACAGATCCAGTGCTTGTAGTTATTCCCCAATTTGGCAGTTTTTCTTTTTATGAAGATTATTGTGTCGTGATTTGTTTGGCACACGGTTTAAACACAGACGTGTTTGAAATACACAGATACAAATATAGCGCGGATCCAGGAGCATAGCATTACAGATTCCCATGATAAAGACTTTTTTGAATACCGAGTTCAGCGTTGAATCCACAAAGTCCACATGAACTTTGACCCATTTCTGCACATCCAATCCTTAGATGATTTGTAACGTTAGAACACGGATCGCTGGAAACAACTGTTCGGTTGGGTTTTGATCGAACTCGTGCTATATGATTCGGTGATTCATTCCTACACCGAAATATTATGTACCCATTGCCTGCAATCTCATAAGCTGGAGTTCAATCAGTCGGATTAAGGTTCACATCAAGTAAAAAAAAGATTCAAAGTCAAAGTTTTATTATGAGCGATTTAACAAAGATAAAGCTTATCATGCCCCATGGGATTTTTACAGAATATTTTGAGTAACTTCACAAAGAGAAAATAATAATAATAATGGTAATTTGCATGATCACTCACGGATGTCGAAATTTTAATTGTTCCAATGCTTTATCAAGTTGCGAGTTAAATAGTTCAACTGTAGGAGCACACACTACATCGGATGGAAGAGAATTTCATACGCCGCACACTCTGTCCGCAATTTGAAAGCACAAAAGTGATTGCGAAATATGATCGTTAAAAGATATTCGTGGACACAAAAATTCGATTTTAGCGAACGTTCTGTTCCACGAAAGTGATGTTCACAAATGCAATGGTTTCCGCACCACGAATGACATTCTTGGTGCACTACTTTTTACTAAGTGACAAGATTCCCTCTCTGGATTCGCGTGTTGTAACTGCTTCGGATTAGCCGCGGGGATCAGTGAGTTTAAGAATTCTACAGTTTCGCACTGAAGCAATAGACTAGACTCTAAACAAACGGTTCTTCAATCTCGAACTGCAAAAGCTAACGAGTGTTCAGTCCTAGTTGTGAATCTGTTCGGATAACACATTCTATTACGCGATCTGCATTACTTCCCAAATGTCGACGTTGAAAATCCCGCAGCCGTAATCCCAGTAGGTTTAGTGAACGAATTCAACGCCGCTTAGAATCTCGCCAGGATAGATCTCTCAGAGATATCCATTTCCTCGTGCGACTTCGAATAGGTGTCTCTCGGATGCTAGATTTGGTGATTACACTAGTCTTAGTCATCAATGATAGTAGATTTGTAAGACTGTCGATAAATACCTGCCAGGAGACTAGCGGATTGGGTTCTTCACCGTGGGAAACTCATTGAGTACATAGCTCCAAATTTTACAACCTTGTATAATTTATGGATCTGTGCTCGTTGGTTAGAGGACTTCTTTGAATAGGCGCATGATAACCACGTCCTGGTGGGTAAGACATGAATTCTACCAGCAGCTCTTCGTTTGTCAACACAGAATCTAGTATTCTTGGTGCCAGCAGGTTTCAAAACTCAATGGCCTCTTTCACGTGGTTTTACAGGGACTGTGAATCAGCATGAACTGATTTTTGAATAACCGATGAACAATAGTCAGTTTATTGGGATTGGGCATTTGAAATCGTCCGTTAACAAAACGTGGGTAAATCGTTGTGGCTGTTTCCAGGAATGATGAAGACGATAGACCATACTAAATAAAAATTCAATGTATTTCGAAAGTCGTAACTCACGCCAAAGTGTGCCCGGAGCCCAAATAACAGGACTGATTACCTCGCACTGGACATCGTTGTGAACATAAAGTAAAACAGCACCTCTACGTGTGGGACGATTGCATCTTAGTAGAGACATATTTAGTAAAGGTAGTTTGGAATCAATAATTGCAACCGACAGCCACGTTTCGGTAACAGCGGCGTTATACCATTGGTTGTATTCGAAACGCCACTTGAGTTCGGAAAATTTGCTGGGGAATCCTTGTGCACTGGGCGTAGCAACAGTTCAGGTATCGTTCATGTAGAAATCCCATTGGGTGAGATGCAATATCTTTGCCGATTACATCTTGATCAGCTACCAATTGGGTTTTGTGAGGGAAGTCCTGAAATTTTGGTATTCCGATGAGAGTATATCGACAGTGTCTCCAGATCATAGACCGTTTGGGACCTAAGATCCAGCATTGGTCTTAGGTGCAGTTCTGGTGGACTTCCTTTCTTTCTTTCCTGCCACGACTGCAAAACGGTGGTAGCTATTTCTGGCAATAAACAAGCGCTGCTACGGTGGCCCTATTCCTTCGTCTCGGGGACGGGAGATCTCGATGCATAATTACCAGTATGATTTCGTAATTCGAAAACGATTGTGATTCTGATTCCTCATTTCCGTCTATAAGTATCACTAAATTATCCCAAGGACTGAGGAGCAATGGACGCGTTGTTTCAAACCAATGGGGGACCGGAACTATAAAAAAGACATTCTTGCCCACCGACTGGTCACAGAGAACCAAGCAAAGTCAGGTATTCAGCATCAACCAGTTCCCCTAAATCTTCCGTGAGGGGAAAGTTACGATGAGATATTTGTGCCACTCACACTCAATCGAAAATAGTGGCAACGTGTTCAAAATGTTTGGCCTTACAATCATAGATATGCGATTGTACAGCACAAGAACTCGCATTAATAGTATATAGATGTGGCATTTGTTATTCATATAAACAATCTTCACACAACTGTTTCGGTGATAGTTGTTATTCATCCTATATAATCAGCGGTTGCGTGGCATAACGCGGAAAACGATCGTCTGTCGGATTCCAATGGCTGCCACCTTTGGCCGACTACGTTGTGTTTTTATCTAATCGATTACTTATGCGGTTGATCAAGCGAACAGCTTGAGGCCCTCTCAAATGTTTTAGTCAAGCTGAGTATCTGTTGAACACGTGACGTGTATGTGACACATTGCATTTAGCTCGACTTTCAGTCCTGGTGCATCCTCTTATGTTCTATGTAAGTCATATGTTACTGGATGAAACATTAAATAATGATGCACTCGTGTTTCGTTTTATTCACGATCCTGTAGGCGTGTTGCTGTTCCACCGAGGCACGTGACTTTTCCCTACTCAATTGTGATGTAAATCCCCCGTTGCTATTTTTTTCTGAGGACACCTTTTCAGCAGTTGGCCAGAACAAGAAACGTTACACTCTGTGACAGTCTCCTAAATGTATACGCAGCTATCTATAATGCATGATGCTGATGTTCACATGACCTACTGCATTTCACCACACAATTGGCGCACAATCCACCCTACTCTGATCCAAATAATGTAACCGTCACAATCTGTAGCCTTACAGAACAACACAGTAAAAAAAGCTCAGACAACAATCGCTTGGAAGGAGTTCTGTTGGATGAATATGCAAAACAGTGATTCGTGGGGTTCTGCACAGAAGCCAAAAGGATGCAATACGGCCTTGATTGTTGTGCTTCTGTACCGAGAACCAGCAGAGTTTGACTTCTAGCACACTCTGTGACCTGATGACAGATTGCTTGCAACCGATTGGAAGCACAGATCTATTCGTGTTCGATTCGATTGGTTTTATCACTCGTTTGATAAGCAGCATGGCGACTCAGTTGTCCCATCTATCGTTCAGTAATCAATAGAACCTTTGGCACACTGGTTGTTTCGAAGTTTGATCTTT